AATCCAGAAGATGCCTTACCCGTGCCCAGTATAGAAGGACTACATCTCCAGCGTAGACCTGAAGCTTGCGTTTTGGCAGATTGAACTGGATGAGAGAAGCAAGGAGTATACTGCGTTCACGGCCATTCGGGCTGTGCAACGCGGCACAACGCTTGGTGCGGCTCATGGATCGGGTGATACCAGCGGAGCTCAGATCTAACGCTCCAGATTTTCAGACGCACTTGAAATACTTGCGTCGAGTAGCCCACAGTCTGAAATCAGCCGGATTGACCATAGGGTTAAAGAAGTCGAAGTTTTGTTTCAAATCTTTGACTTAGCTAGGGTTTATAGTCGGAGGTGGACTGCTGCGGATGGATCCTGGACGTGTTTCGGCAATCCAGAAGATGCCTTACCCGTGCCTTCCTCGGCACAGCGGGATGGTATCGACGGTTCGTCAAGAACTTCGCTACGCTAGCCGCAGCACTCTCCGAGTCCTTGAAGAAGGCTGGAAACACAAAGTTTTCCTTAAGTCCCAGCGCCACCCAGGCAGTGGATGACCTGAAGTTGGCCTTGACGAGCGCGCCGGTCCTGGTTCATGCGGATTTCAAGAAGCATTTCTACATCCAGTGCGACGCATCCCACGTTGGCGTCGGCGCGGTATTGTTTCAGCGGAACCAGAACGGAGACGAGCAGCCCATCGCGTTCTTCTCGGCCAAGATGAACAAACACCAGGTGAATTACTCGGTTACGGAAAAGGAGTGTCTGGCGGCCATCCTAGCCATTTGGAAGTTCAGACCGTATGTGGAAGGGATGCCCTTCACATGCATTACTGATCACGCCAGCCTTAAGTGGTTGATGACAATGAAGGATCTGTCCAGACGACTCGCAAGGTGGTCTCTCCAGCTGCAGGGCTACGATTTCAACATTGAACATCGCAAAGGCAGCGAGAACGTAGTCGCTGACACTCTATCCCGCATCATCGAGGAAGTCCGGATAGATCCAACGGAATCTGCGTCCCCAGTTCTATTGGCCAGGGATGACTATCCAGGTACGGGAATACGTCCGGGGTCGCGAGGTGTGCAAGGAATCCAAAGCGCCAAACTTCCGGATGCAGGTCGGAATCGGAAGAAGGGTAGAGACGGGGAGGCCATTCCAGAAACTGTACATCGATTTCCTGGGCAAGTATCCGACACGCCTGGATATTCATCGTGGTGGACCACTTTCCAAGTACACCTTCTTAAAGGCGATGAAGGAGGCGACGGCGTCGAACGTTGTAAATTTCCTGGTAAACGAGGTATTTTACAAGTTCGGGGTGCCTGAGACGATACATTCTGACAACGGCAAACAGTTCGTATCCAAGGCGTTTGAGGAGATGATCGATGGCTTCGGTATACAGCACATGAGGACTCCCGTATACTCACCACAGAGCAATGCCGCGGAAAGGGTAAACCGGAACGTCTTGGCCGCAATTCGCAGCTTCTTGGACGAAGATCATCCAAAACACTTTCCACTCAGCCACAGGAGATGCGCCGTTCTTCACCGTATTCGGCCATCACATGTTCCTCAACGGTTCCAGCTACAAACTAGCCAGACGACTCAGGTCTCTGGTCGACCATGAAATGGCCGGAATGCAGACCAAGGACAAGCTTCGGGTTATCCACGCCAAGGTGCAGAAGCAACTGGAGGGTGCATACCAGACAAGCCGGCAACGCTACGATAAGCGAGCCCGTACGCTGCTCGCCAAGCCAGGCCAAGAAGTCTTCCGCCGCAACTTTGTGCTGAGTGATTTCAACAAATCTTTTAACGCCAAGTCTGCTCGCAAGTTCATTAAAGCCAGGGTGGTTAAATCCGTCGGTAGCAATGCATACTTGGACCTCCAAGGCCGCAGTCTGGTTGTGACCTGAAAGGAGAAATTAAAGTATACGAGCATCGCGATCACTTCTGCAATACTTCCCGTCATGCGTGGGCCCCGCGTTAGGCGCCGATCGAACTGCAGGATGGTATCAGTGCCGTGTTGAGTCCCATCGTATCTCCAAAGCTACCATTTATTTTCATCGTTCTGCTGAAACTCCAGGCAGCGACTCTCGAAATCTTTGGTTAATGTTGCAGTTGGAGTCGAATGGAGCGACGTTATCGATAGTTACGTCGATAGGGCTATAGCTGCAGCAGCGGGATGAGTCTGGCGGGCCGATCTGGCCATTTGAAGATTAATCCCGGTTCGCTTTGGGATTACTTTAAATGGGACCCATGTATCCAATGACCCAATTTTGAGAGAGGCCATGTAATATGGCGGGGGGTATGAACGATGATCAGCAGATATCGAGATAGTCGCGGCCATACTGTCCAACAACCAAGGCAGATGCAGCTAGAAGTGATCCTATAAATTTTCTTTGTGCTTAAAATTAAATAGTGAGTTATGTTAAAGTTATACAGTAGTTCGGTATTTAATATTTATCATTTATAAGGCAGCCGGGGTCCCAACACAAAGGGCCCCGGAATATTTATTTGGAGTTCTACTGACATTTGCGCGACTTCGCCATACCTACCAGCCCGACTTGGCTGCCAGCAACCGGTGGCCGTTCGACCCGTACCGACGACCACCCAGAAAAGCAGTCTTCGCAGTCGACGCCGACGACATCAAACATTTCCCGGTGAGTCCGTTCCGGGTGTACCGCGTCCACCTCATCTCGGGGACTTCCAGCCGTCGCATCGCGGCGTTGAGAGGTACCGCCATTTTGTCGGGCGGCCGAACCTCAGACTGCCCTTGCATAACTCACCGAGAGCGCCAGTTTTCTTTCCTGGAGACCTGTATCGCTGCTGGCCTCCGGCTGGAAGTCATCAGCCCGGGCTATCATCGCCTCCAGGCCCGGCCCAACAGTGGCTGAAATTTAGGAAAATTTGAATACACGTGTACCTTGATTATATATATTGATATTTACTTCCCTGTTTGTGAATTTATCCGGAGTTAGACTCGAGAGCCTTATTTGTCCTCGTTGTTTGCCTAAAATTAAAAAGGTCGCGAGCATTAGTTACAGTGCAGTTACGTACCTTTTTGGCCTGTCCCTTCTTTTCCCCTTGAGCTCCTCAGAATTAGGTGACCATACACACGCGCATCGCGCATGTTCCTTTGAGGGCCGCGTTTCCATGCGAGCTCTACCAATACATGACTGGTAGAGCATAGTTTCCGCGGCGCCTGTACGCTTTTCCAGCCAAAACAAATCCTCTGCTTTGACGCGTAAATATCCGAGACGGCGGCCAGGTTTAGGTCTTAAAGGCTGAGGAAGGATAGATCTGTTAAGAGGAGCATGTATATAAACAATTGTACTTACGATATTTATTAAACCTTTGTAATACCCACAATGTGTGAGTAAGCTTTCCCAGTGGGGGAGATGGAACCGTCGTAGTCGCGAGGAGGGGGCTCCTGCCGACAGAGAATGGGTGGTGCCCTGCAGCGCCTCGAGGGCACCCATGGTTGGGTGGGAGCGCTTGGCTAGGTCACCGATAGCCACCAATTGTAATCCATTTTCCCGTCAATATTTGTAGATTTTTGCTTTGATTACGTTTTTTTTGTCATTAGTGATAACCGATTAGTAATGTGAGACCGTGAAGTTATCGATATTTATGTTGCGAGCTGTGGCATTAGGGGTACTCTGCCTTGAGAAAGACTGAGCTAGCGGCACTGCCACCAAAAAAAGCAGTTCGTAACATATTGGCGCCCAATTTAAACAAAATAAATTGTCGAGGCGACGACGTCTCGCCCATTTATGACCCTGACGCCGCCGCCATCACGACCTATGGCTTGCAACATAGATTGCAATTGCTAGGGAGTGGTGACGGGGAAGTCAGCTGTGTAGGGAAGTTGGAAGTAGAACGGGAGGCTGGTCGGCGACATTGCCGACGATTTGCTCCTGGCCACAGGTTTACCAGTGAACCGGTGATGGCATCTTGGAGCAAACCAAGATTTGCATCACGGGATGCACTGAAGAAAATCTGTGATAATTTCTGTGATAGAGTAGTAAGCTTGTATTTTGTGATTTATTTATTTGAAATGTTTTTTTGTTAGGATGTTGGGTCCTGGATTTCTAATTTTATGTCGGTTGTAAACTTAATTGCGTAATCGTGACCCGTTGCACGGTTGGCTCGATGTAAAATAGAAAAAGAGGGCGGGAAAGAAAAGCCAACAGGAGCCAAACCGAGCCGATGTCCTTAACTGGCGGCTATCACCACAGGTGATAGCTAGTCCAGTTGACGAACGGCTAGGCGGTGACGGAAAATAGGAGTTTTGGAGAAAGCGCAAGACGAGTTAGGTCGGAAGCCCACCGGCGACGGTCACTTCCATCTGCCCAGGTCCAGCTGTAAGGAAAAGAAAAGAAAATAGGAAGGGAGGAAGATTTGTTCATTGTTATTGATTTTTGCTATTAGTTATTTTCGTATTTATTTTGATATTTATTATATTATTTATTTTTGTATTTATTTGTTGTCTTATTTATTTATTTATTTATCATATTTATTATAGTATTAGTAGTCATTAAGTATTTATTTAAAAATTCTTGGGAAGTATGTCCGAGGGTAAGGACGTCAGCGATAGGCACGGCCACCAGCTCAGGTCGATGGGTCCCCCTGGCGACGACAAGGACGATGTCTGGTCCACGGATGTAGAGGGTGCTGCTGGGTTGCCGCGGATATCGCTGTCTGGGGGTTTACCCAGAACGCCGGTAGCCGGTAGTGCGGTGGATCGGATTAGGGATCAACCGGCGGATCTGGAGCACCATCGGTCGCCCAGGGTCCTGGATTTCAAGGCAATTGTCGAGGCGCAGGATCGACTTCTGGTTCCGGAGCAGACGGGACTACAAAAGCTGAACACGGAACACGGATACAGCGGCGGAGTCTGCGATGAACGCAGCTCTGGCACAAGCGGCCCATACATATCGGGCATCGCAAGAGTTGGGAGTGAGCCAGGCCTTGCGGGAGAAAATCAAGAACGGATTCATGGACATGATGAAATTGAAGAACGATGTTCTTAGGACAGCCGAAAGCAAACCGCAGCCGCTCCAGGAGGGCGCGATTCGCCAAGTGTCAATGGTGCCCACTCCGTCGTGCCCGGAAGGCGGCGCAAATGGTCCAGCGGAAGTTCAGCAGCGGCAGGAGACAGGAGGAGGCTACCGAAGGCCGCCGGAATTGAAACCCAGGCAGCGACCTCGACCGCAGGTGAACGACTCTCCAGGGATCGACAGCAGCCTGAGCCAGGAACCGGAGTATCATCCGGCAGGAAGGAGTGATCGCCACGCACGGCCGTGGCGCATCGAGGACCGAAGGGCGGCGGATTTTCGTGACGAGCCGCGGTTGTACGCCAACGCGGGAGCCGGCAACGGAAACCGCTAGATCCGAGTGGACCGCTGGAACCTCTCCTTCGGCGGCGAGGACGATGGCCAACGATGCGGCAAGCTGGGCGTGATTTCTCCGAAATGTCCCGATTGCGCGGAAAACGGTCGGCTGGGTAGTCCAAAAGCGGGAGGGACTCGCCCAGGTTGGAATCCCGCGAAGTAGTTCCGAAGAAAGAAGAAGAAAAGAATGTACATAGTCCATCTGATAGTCAAAAGTATTTGTTAAGATACCTGGCGGAGGATGAGAGGCTTCGCCGTTATATGGAGGCACGGAACCGGATCTTTGCGGAGCATCAGCTGAGCGGCATGCGTCTGGTCTCACGGAGAGTCCAGAAGGCAAGGGAGTGCTTCAGGATGAGGAGATCCAGACGACGAGAGGTGGTGGCGGCCGTTAAACACATAGATTCCGCCGATCCTAGACCCTTCGCCAAAGGCTGTCGAGAGCTCGTGGAAACGCTAGAAGATACCGTCCAACCGTATTTTTCGGTAGTCCGGACAGCTTCTGGTGAGGATCGATCCATCATCGGACGCTTGGAGCTGCCTGGGAGGTACAAAGCCAGTCACGTTCTACCTGTGTCCATACCTGGACCAAACTGCGTACTTCGGGGTCGACTTCTGGCGACCTTCGGACTAGCTCCAGCCGACGTGGGGAAGCCGGCAACGAGAGGCGTCAAGGCAGCGCAGGTAATCCATGCCAGCCAGATGGAGCACTATGCCGACCAGGAAGATGAAGACGAGGTAAGGGAGGAACCCGAATCCTGGACCCTTTCTGCGGAGGAAAAGCTGGCGTTAGGCAAGGTCAAGGAGGAGTTCCTTACCTTTTAAAGGGACGGCCTCGGAGTCACCAGCATGAAGAGGCATTCTATTGAGCTGACGGAAGGAGCTCGTGTCTTTAAGGATCGTCCGTATTCGATGTCTCCGGTGAAGCAGAAGGTGGTCGAAGACGAAATCGACAAGATGTTGGAGCTGGGTGTTATCGAGGAGAGCAAAAGCCCGTGGAGCAATCGCACAACAGAGGTGTCGAAGCCAGGGAAAGACCGGTTCTGCGTGGATGCCCGAAGTTGAACGCCTCGACTATTAAGGATGCGTACCCTCTGCCCAGTATAGAAGGAATCCTCTCCAGGATAGATCAGACGCACTACATCTCCAGCGTAGACCTGAAGCTTGCGTTTTGGCAGATTGAACTGGATGAGAGAAGCAAGGAGTATACTGCGTTCACGGCCATTCGGGCTGTGCAACGCGGCACAACGCTTGGTGCGGCTCATGGATCGGGTGATACCAGCGGAGCTCAGATCTAACGCTCCAGATTTTCAGACGCACTTGAAATACTTGCGTCGAGTAGCCCACAGTCTGAAATCAGCCGGATTGACCATAGGGTTAAAGAAGTCGAAGTTTTGTTTCAAATCTTTGACTTAGCTAGGGTTTATAGTCGGAGGTGGACTGCTGCGGATGGATCCTGGACGTGTTTCGGCAATCCAGAAGATGCCTTACCCGTGCCTTCCTCGGCACAGCGGGATGGTATCGACGGTTCGTCAAGAACTTCGCTACGCTAGCCGCAGCACTCTCCGAGTCCTTGAAGAAGGCTGGAAACACAAAGTTTTCCTTAAGTCCCAGCGCCACCCAGGCAGTGGATGACCTGAAGTTGGCCTTGACGAGCGCGCCGGTCCTGGTTCATGCGGATTTCAAGAAGCATTTCTACATCCAGTGCGACGCATCCCACGTTGGCGTCGGCGCGGTATTGTTTCAGCGGAACCAGAACGGAGACGAGCAGCCCATCGCGTTCTTCTCGGCCAAGATGAACAAACACCAGGTGAATTACTCGGTTACGGAAAAGGAGTGTCTGGCGGCCATCCTAGCCATTTGGAAGTTCAGACCGTATGTGGAAGGGATGCCCTTCACATGCATTACTGATCACGCCAGCCTTAAGTGGTTGATGACAATGAAGGATCTGTCCAGACGACTCGCAAGGTGGTCTCTCCAGCTGCAGGGCTACGATTTCAACATTGAACATCGCAAAGGCAGCGAGAACGTAGTCGCTGACACTCTATCCCGCATCATCGAGGAAGTCCGGATAGATCCAACGGAATCTGCGTCCCCAGTTCTATTGGCCAGGGATGACTATCCAGGTACGGGAATACGTCCGGGGTCGCGAGGTGTGCAAGGAATCCAAAGCGCCAAACTTCCGGATGCAGGTCGGAATCGGAAGAAGGGTAGAGACGGGGAGGCCATTCCAGAAACTGTACATCGATTTCCTGGGCAAGTATCCGACACGCCTGGATATTCATCGTGGTGGACCACTTCTCCAAGTACACCTTCTTAAAGGCGATGAAGGAGGCGACGGCGTCGAACGTTGTAAATTTCCTGGTAAACGAGGTATTTTACAAGTTCGGGGTGCCTGAGACGATACATTCTGACAACGGCAAACAGTTCGTATCCAAGGCGTTTGAGGAGATGATCGATGGCTTCGGTATACAGCACATGAGGACTCCCGTATACTCACCACAGAGCAATGCCGCGGAAAGGGTAAACCGGAACGTCTTGGCCGCAATTCGCAGCTTCTTGGACGAAGATCATCCAAAACACTTTCCACTCAGCCACAGGAGATGCGCCGTTCTTCACCGTATTCGGCCATCACATGTTCCTCAACGGTTCCAGCTACAAACTAGCCAGACGACTCAGGTCTCTGGTCGACCATGAAATGGCCGGAATGCAGACCAAGGACAAGCTTCGGGTTATCCACGCCAAGGTGCAGAAGCAACTGGAGGGTGCATACCAGACAAGCCGGCAACGCTACGATAAGCGAGCCCGTACGCTGCTCGCCAAGCCAGGCCAAGAAGTCTTCC